CAATCCAGTCCTAGATCGTTCTAGCTTTATACCTCCTTTGTATTTCAATGCAAGAAAAGTTCCAATTAATTTCAGTTTAGACGAATAAGTTATCTATTTCGTTTCTAGGTTGATGTTCTACCTTTGGAAGAAGTGCCGAATGCTATTGGCAACTATCATGCTTGCATAGTAAAAAGTATGAAGCTAGATTCAAACATAATTTCCCGTGCAGTTCAGATGCAGCTTATAATGCAGTACGGCGTTGGGCTAGAAGGTACCGTAATATTCTGAGTTGAACTTTTATTGATGAATTTCAGAAAGTTTCATTTTTATCTCTTTGATCAACTGTTAATTTTCCTCCTAGGCATTGATATCGATGCTGCAACAAAGCATGGAATCAAAGTTGCTAGGATTCCCGGTGATGTAACAGGAAATTCAGCTTCATGCGCTGAAATGGCCATATATCTTATGCTGGGCCTCCTCCGTAAGCAAGTATAGTAGTAACTTCAGTTTAACAACAAAAGTATCCCTTCATTCTTTTTAAATGCAGCGACACGAGACTGGTCCTGTTAAGCATGAGAGTTAGAAGTTTGGAGAGGTTACTTGTCTAACAAATAAACTGACCATAGGGTAACTCTTAGTTAGTTACTTGTTATACAAGTAACCTCTCCAAACTTCTAACTCTCAAGCTTAACAGGTCCACAACAAACCTACCATGCTACGGGATTTTGTGCTCGAGTTTCAACTTTCTTATTCTATACACTATGTGAAACTTACGTACAAATACTTGCGTTGAATGTTGTTTTATTTATGAAAAAACAAATTCGTCTGTGCAGAATGAACTGCAGATTTCCATACAACAAAGAAAGCTTGGAGAGCCTATCACCGATACTATATTTGGGAAAACGGTGAGTATACTTAATCTGTTTGGATAGCAAATAGTATCCTGCATCGCTAACTACCATCTCATGATGATGTAGATATTCATTTTGGGCTTCGGGAACATTGGAATGGATTTAGCACTGCGATTGAAACCATTTGGTGTAAAAGTTATTGCTACAAAGCGAAGCTGGGCTTCATCTGCACAACACAGAAGCGAAATCAAAAGTATTTTCCTTCCCTATTATCGTCGATTATTACTTTTCAATAACATTAGTTCGTTGTTCTATTTCTTATCAAGCTATATATTATTTGTTGAAGATGATGTTGATGATCTTGTTGATGAGAAGGGTACTCCCAAAGATATCTATGATTTTGCGGCGAAAGCTGACATTGTTGTTTGCTGCTTAAGCTTAAACAGCGAAACGGTTAAACCTTTTCCAATCTTTTTTTAGCGTAGTTCCAAGCTTCTACTTTCTTCTATTACTTCTAGCTAGTTTGGTTGCGCATTTGTTATATCATTACAATTTGATTCTGCTGGAAATTTTGGAATGTATACTTATTTACTCGGATATGATGTTTTTTCAGGCTGGTATTGTAAACAATAACTTCATATCGTCTATGAAAAAGGTTTGTTTACCATCTCAAATTAACTCCTTGAATTTACTTCACTTTTTCGGCCAGGTTTCTTGTTAAACAAGTATACTAAATATTTCAGGGTGCCCTTCTGGTGAACGTTGCTAGAGGTCGTCTTTTAGACTATGAGGCTGTGGTCGAACACCTTGAATCCGGTCACTTGGGAGGGTTAGGCACCGATGTTGCATGGACGGAGCCATTTGATCCTGCCGATCGGATATTGAATTTTAAGAACGTTATCATGACTCCTCATGTTGCAGGCGTTACAGAACATTCATATAGATCCATGGCTAAGGTTGTTGGTGATGTGGTTCTTCAACTTCATGATGGACTTCCTTTGACAGGAATTGAGTTAGTCAATTGAATTAGTGCATGAAGTTCATTAACTTCCTGAGCTTTATCATTTTTAATGGTGCAGAAACACTTAGCATTATATATAGAATTGAGATGAGACAATGGTTGTGTATTAAACATTTTTTTATCTCTATTAGTGTAGTCTCTAGCACGAGCATCTCTAATAAAATGCGGGTATGATGACTAATGGTTTTGGTAACATACGGTTCGACCGTGATTTCAAAGTAATTCCAAATATAGGCAACAGTGTCATACAGTCACTTTCAATTAATTCTCATCTCTAATAAAAGGCATGTCTGATGACTAACAGTTACCTTCGATAACGAATCAATGAATGTGTTGGTGCTTCATAAGTTATATTTGTCACATACACTAATCAAGTTTTTCAAATTATAACGAATCAACCAATGTGTTAATCTTTCATAAGTTATATTTGTGGCATACACTAATCGAGAAAATCAACTACATTTCTTATCTCAATACTTTTCCAATATTGAAACCATAAACTATGACAAGTTTTTTCAGTCTTTTCAAATAATTGACAAACAAAAGGAACAAATTCCAATCACAAAAATCACAAGTTACACAATGTATAATAATGTTTTGTTACTCAACAAGAGAATAATCCACTTCATAGTGTAGATGTTTAAAACACCCATCTTCGCCTTGTTGGTTACAACATATATGGTATTATGCAAAACAACAAAGTCGACAACATTCCATGGTTTTCCCTTTGTCGAATAAGTAATCCAATCGAGATTGATAGACATGTAAACTGTTAGAACTTGTACATAAAGCCACTAAGACAAATTCCTCTGAGCCTTTGCCGAAAGCAAGTAAGAGATGGTAAGCATAAACAGAAAACTCGACTTTAAAGGATGTTTTCCATCTTTTTTCTTGTAAATGGATTCATTAGTATAAATGAATTGTCTTTGAGTGATAAACTCTTTGATCATGTATGCTGATGAAGGAAAAAGATTTTTTATTCTCATCATACTTTTCCTTATTCTCACCTTCAAACACATCTCTTGCTCTCTTGATAAAAGCTATTCCATCTTGTAGTCCTACCTCTACTCGACGTCATTGTTGTTGTTTATCGTCACAATCTAATGGAAGTTTGATTTCTTATCGAACGGAGATTTTGATTTTCAAACAATAATTAAAAGAGATAAACTCATTAGTTGAACTAGAAGTATATATTTTCTTTTTCGACTTCATTAATCACAACCATATCTACCACAAATTCAAGATTATTCTTTGAATTTTTGTTTGACTTCTCATCACTAATAAGATTCTTTCTTTGCTTTTACTTTTCTTTACGAGATTTTTTTGATAAATCTTGCTTGCAGTGTCTGTTCAACCACCTTCTCCCTTTTTGAGTTCCTCTACTTTAGTCTTATCTCATAAGTCTTTAATGAAATTTGAAGTTCTTCTAACTTCATCTCAGTAAAGAACTTGGACTCTTCAATTGACACTACAGTGTAATCGAAATTTACAGTCAGAGATCTTAACACTTTCGCAATCTTCTGCAAATCAGTGATTGATTCACCACACACCTTCATCTGGTAACAACACCACATATAAAAAATATTCAGAGACTGATTCATCTTCCTTCATTTGAGTCATCTCGAATTACTTTCCCAACGTATGCAATTTCACTCTCTTCAATTTTTCATCTCTGTCGTACAAGTTTGTTAACTTACGTCACGCTCTTTTTTTCCGTTTCCTCTTTAATTATCTTCTCGAACACGCTAGGATCCACACATTGGTGAATTAAGAACATAACTTTACCATGTTTCTTCCTTTTATTCTTGTACACAGCTTTTTGGACATCATCCGCATTCGTTTCTAATGCCGGTACTCAATCATTCATGATTTCAACCACATCCTGAAATGTAAATATGACTTTCATCTGCGCAACCCACCTTTGATAGTTCTCATCTTTGAACACCCAATAGATTTACTGGAAATTACATTAATGTTGTGTTTTCGTTTGCTATTACATATTCTCTTTGAATCGCAATCAGACTCTGATACCAATTTGTTGAAATAAAATAATTTTTAAAAAAGATGGGGAAAAAGAAGAGAGAAAAGAGATAGCAACTGAATTGTAAAAAAAAAATCATATTATTGAGTAAAGTTATCATTTACATCAAACAATGCCTTTTATATAAGCAACTAATGCTCAAGTCTAAAAACTATACAATTATATTTTAATTTCCACACAACAGTTTAAATGTTGTATTCCACTCCGTCGAATACAACTGACTCCTACACCTCGACTTGCTTTTGACAAAACGTCAAATTACAACTTCTAACAATAATACACTAAAGTGATCATTGAAGATGCTTTAAAAGTGTGTAAATCTAATTCGATTCACATTAAAATGGTAAATTGATTCTAAAAAATAAAAAATCGCAGATTGATATTTATTAGGTGTGTTTGATGTTCTTTTGTTAAAATTGCTAAAGTCAAATAGAATTTTAGATTAAATTTTCAAAATCAAATCAAATCCAACTAAATAGCATATTTGTATTTTTTACTAGAATTAGTAATGAATGAAACTATGAATGAAACTTTAGGAATAATGACCATGCATACTAGAAAAATGGTTTTCAACTCTTCAAGAAATTAAATGCATAACTTTTTAGACAATATTTCGATCTTAAATTCCTTAACATATGTCATAAATGCAAACAAACTAACAGTTTTGTTGAAAAATGGAATATAAGAATAGTAAAATTATTAAAATTGACTCGATTAATTTAAAAGAAAAAAAAAACTAAAACAAGTTGGGGAATAGATGATGATACTATGAACCATCATACTTTAGCTCAATGACAAAGACCAATTAAAGTATGTAAATGTTTATATTTACAACATGGATTCAATTCATGTTACATGACACATCGATTAAGATCGTGAAGATGACACATTAAAAGTCGAGATCAATTAATGTGTGATGTATTTGCAAAGGAATTCGACATTCAATCATTTTCTATGAACCTGTTTTATCAGAAGAATTTGAAGAATCCATCTTTTACAACCAGAGTACATCAATCTCAACTCATAAACAGTTACAAGTCTTTGATAATTATGTACAATTTGTGTCAAGAAATAACATATTTATAACCGATTACTATTTTTTTTTTCAAATTACCTTCAAGCTTACTTCTGAATGAGAATGAAGAGGCTTCTTTGGACTAATAGGTACATTTGAGAATTTCTGAAGGAGAATTCTGAAGCATGGTAAAAATATTATGTATAGTGTTCCTAGAATAAAAGGTGATGCCGCAACCCACCCAAATAACTGCAAGAGTTTGATAGATAAATGGTATTAAAATTTGATAATTGTATGCAAGCTAGAGAACCATGAAATCACGTGATTTTGGAAATAATGAATCTAAATAGACTTCGGATATCATCTTAGAATTTGGATTGGATTATTCAATCATACAAAACCGACTTATAAAGTGAAGGATATGTCATCCACTATGATACTCTTGATCAATATAGTCAAAATCGAGTGTTGGATCGTAAGATCTTGCGTGCCAAGGGTGCATGAGTTCTACGATCAGAGAAAGATCGTTTTTGTTGCCTGTGTGGTCAAGATTGAGCTTTTTGAGGCAAGATCATAAATAAAAACATGTTGGACCTTTTATTTTTGGGGCCTAAATTGTAATTTTCATGTTTTTGTGTATGTGCGTCTATAAAAATATATACGAAATTACCATTTTTTCCTTCAGTAGGATCTTATTGTTGTGCTAATGATCCGAGTTTTACGATCTTTCACAAGCCGATTGATCCTACTTAAGATCTCGTACTTGACTACATTGCTTTTAACAACCATAAGCATATAAATTTTGTGCATTCATTAAGTGCCTAATAAGATATCATTTGTTAGTGTGTAATCTAGGCCGTCCAATCTCAGATTAAGAATCAAGTGTTTACTGTATGAAGCTGCGTGTAATTGCTACGTCAGCAAATCTGGGTCCAAAACCTAATATGAGCTATTCGAATTTTAATTGGAATCCAAAAAAACACCTACAGTCTACAAGATACAGTAATACAGTAATACAGTAGAGGTGGAAAGGATCAAGAGTTCAACTTCAACCAATGTAAAATGTGCACCGGTGAAATGAGAAATAAATTGATTTTTTGTTCTATGCAAACATATGTATACATAGAACTAACAGTCTCCATAAGACAAATCCACAGGAAAATATTATGGTAAAGTGGCACGTACCGCATGGACAACACTTAATATGACCTCATGTGAAGCTTGACCGGTAAGAACTTTCTTTAAAGCATCAGATGTCAAAGGGAATTGAGGTCCACCAGACATAAATTCACCGAGACGTAGAAAGGGTACAATCAGACTGAAATTTGAAGACATTAAGTTATCAACAACAATGTTACTCACGTGAATAATAAGAACATGGGCCGTCACATGATCAAATTTATTTGCATAAAATATCTTGGTTGTAAGATGATCAACAAAATACGAACATTGTGATTCATGATAGGGATGAAAAGTATATGCAAAGATAGATCTGGTGTTTGAATGCACATTACCTCAACTCTATTGGAGTAGCCATAAAGTTTGCAAGCATCAAAGTTGGAGCATGACAACGTGATCCAAGCATTGCAATAGCCACTCCGCAGAGAAATACAGTGACACCTATTTGAAAAACATTAGCCTCATATAAGCAAAATTCTTTTAAACTTAAATTTAACCTAAAATATATTATCGGTGGAAAAGTTTTAGACTGTCAACAAATCACAACCAATCGTATGTGTAAGTGCGATTTAAAAATAGTTACGATTGAAGTTAAACTTTTTAATGATCTAACAGTTATGTTTGCTTCACAGCATAAAATCTTTAGTTCGCATTAATACATGAATCAAATCCAAATTTTAATCGGCAAATAATTGGTGAAAAACACCTATAGAGAAAAGAGCACCTAATTCAAGATGAGTTAATTACAACATACCACATATAGGAAATACTCCAAATGTAATGCCAAGAGCAGCAGAGAAAGCCAACTGCTTTGGCTCAGCTCCTCTGAAAAAAACCATAACAAACTAATTGTCACCAAATATAATTCATAAACAAACAACATTTCCAGATGAAAAACATGACAATTATGAATCCTTTTTTACAGCTTATTTTTCAAAATAATCACTTTTAAGAAGGTCTATTATGTGTATGTTTTTGGAGTGATTATGAGGTGTTTGATTCTTCTAAAGTATAATTGATTCTGCCTCTAGAATTGATTCTACTTGAAGCTACAATTAGTAACTTTTGAGTTTAAACGTAATTTTTACACTGAAATTTGTTGTTTAACTCACTTTTCCATAAATGTATTCAAACATAAATTGCTTCCAACTCACTTTTAATCAGAATCAATTCTACAAAATCAATTCACTCAGAATCAATTCTCCTCGCGCAGAACTGAACAGTTTAACTTTTGGAAGAGGCAAAAGCAATTCTAGATGTATAGAATTGATTTTGGAGTGATTTTGAGAAGTTTGATTTTTCTAAAGTAAAATTACTTCTGCCTCCAGAATTGATTCTATTTGAAGTTAAAATATGTAGCTTCTAAGTTTAAACATGATTTTTACATTCAAATATACCGTTCAACTCAATTTGGAATAAAGTTATCCAAACATAAATCACTTTACATTCAAGTCACTTTAAACCAAAATCAATTTTACAAAATCTATTAACTCAAAATCAATTTTTTTCACCAAATAACCAAACATAAGCTACATGTATGATTGGTTTACCTTTTGGAAGAGTCAAAAACAATTCTAGAGGAGTAGAATTGATTTTGAGGTGTTTGAATTTTGTAAAGTAGAATTGATTCTGCCTCTAGAATTTTAAACTTAAAATTTATAATTTCTGTGTTAAAACTTGATTTTTATATTGACATTTACTATCCAATTCATGTCTGCATAAATTTATTCAAACATAAATCACTTAAACTCACCGGAATCAATTTTACAGAATGAATTCATTCAAAATTATTATTTTTTAAAGCAAACAAAACTATCGGTATGATTAAAAATAAGTGATTTATTTCATTATGAAAACAAACACACAATAACTTAAACTTTCGTTAAAAATATCTAAAACTGAATCCCTAATTAATTAAATACCAAAACCACCTATTTAACAATCCTAACAAACAAACAAACCCTATAATTTCAGAATCAAAACCCAGAAACAGATCTGATAAAATGGAAATGAATGAGTACCTTTGGAGGATGGCGAGAAGAGGATCAGCGATTTTCTTGTGGAACCAATTGGGAGTTCCCGTTTTCCCATTCGCCATTTTCGTTCAAAGTTTCAAAATTGAAATGAAATGCTTCCAAATAACAGAATCAGAGTTTCTATCTCACCACAAGAAACCCCTATTTCAAACCAAAGCAAAACAAACACAATTATTTTATTTTATTTTTGTATTATCATAAGATTCACGTATTTAATTTTTTTATTGTTTTGATTTTTTCCGGTTCAAGAGTTTAATCTATGTAATTTATCAAAAAGAATTTAGTAAAAAAATCTTTGGTGAATAAAATAGTTGAATTGAGATCTCTTCTTCTAATTTAGAAAAGGAATTACGAATATTAGAACCAAACACTTCTCCACGTGCATCCTATTTTGGTTGGTCACATTACACGTGGTTGCCGTTTAGCCATAATTATCCATGTGGTGTGGAACATATTATAAAAATTATTATATAATATATTTTTTTATGCTAAATATCTAAAAAATTATACTATCTAGCCATAATTACTTTTATTTCTCGTCTCTGTAAATAATTTTGTTAAAGAATTATATTTCAAATAATATTTTTGGGCTTTAATATTAGACCTGAGTAATGGAAACTATCGTGACAGTACAAACAGTTAAATTTTGAAAACTAACAATTAAAAATGGGTAAGCACTCGGTATTCATGAATTTAGTTGGGCACCAATATCCTTAACCAATCAAACAATTACATTTAATATTATATCATTTTTTATATCTATTTTATTTAAAATTAAATTAATAATTTAAATTAATTTTCACGAAAGATACTTGTACTCAACTACTTATCATGGATATCTAAGAATTTACTTTAAAAATAATACCACTTATGCTTTTATTAGGATTAAAATAATTTCACTTTTGGCATCTTCATTGATTTTCTTTTAAATCTAATTCAGAAATTCTAAAATCATAAAATTTTGTTTCATCTTCTGCAATACAATTCTGCTCACCATTGATACAATTCGTTGTTAACGAATGCTGGCGAACTCAACTCACTGTGTATGAAGATTGATGAACTCAACTCGTTGTATATGAAGGTTGACAAACTCAACTCACTATGTACGAAGGTTGGCGAACTCAACTCACTGTGTGCGAAGGTTGACAAACTCAACTCATTGTGTACGAAGGCTTACGAACTCAACTCGCAGTGTACGAAGGTTGGTGTGGTCCTTGAAAGTTGTGGCCCTTGGTGTTTCGTGTTCCAGACAAGTTTGTCCCACATGTCTGTTTCTCTTTTCAGTTTTTTAGCATTGTGTCGTTTTTGGATGTTCCACAGTTTTCATCTACATTTAAAAGGAAATATAATAAATTAACATTAACGACAGTTTTTAAAGTTACACGATGACTGGAAATTTAATGCCAACTTGATAATTTCTTGACTGAATTGTTGTAGGTATGTGAAGTTTTTGTGAAATTAACACTTACAATATATGTAATATATAGGAGATGGACTTGTTTAAGGTCGATTTTTACACTAAGGGTTGTTTTGTAAAAGACCTCAATTTAAGATATAAAGTTGAAGATATATATGTATTCTGATTCTTTCCAGACCTCTGTTGGTTCAGTTTAAATCTCTCAGTGGTTTTCTTGATTCTTTCCTATAGACATTTTTCTCTTGTTCAGAGAAATCTCCCCAAGATTTGTTATGATTCTTTCCAGACCTCTACTGGTTCACTTTAAATCTCTCAATGGTTTATCCTAATTCTTTCATGTAGACATTTTTCTCTAGTTTAGATAAATCGCCCCAAGATTTATTCTGATTCTTTCCAGACCTCTGTTGGTTCAGTTTAAATCTCTCAATAATTTATCCTGATTCTTTCCCGTAGACATTTTTCTCTGGTTCAGATAAATCGCCCCAAGATTTGTTCTTATTCTTTCCAGGCCTCTGCTGGTTCTGTTTAAATCTCTCAATGGTTTATCCTGATTCATTCCTGTAGACATTTTTCTCTGGTTCAGATAAATCGCCCCAAAATTTATTCTGATTCTTTCCAGACCTCTATTGGTTCAGTTTAAATCTCTCAATGGTTTATCTTGATTCTTTTTGGTAGACATTTTCTCTGGTTCAGATAAATCGCCCCAATATTTGTTTTAATTCTTTCCAAACCTCTGTTGGTTCAGTTTAAATCTCTCAACGGTTTATCCTGATTCTTTCCCGTAGACATTTTCTCTGGTTCAGATAAATCACACAAGATTTATTCTGATCCTTTCCAGATCTCTGTTGGTTTAGTTTAAATATCTCAATGGTTTATCTTGATTCTTTCCGGTAGACTTTTTCTCTGGTTCAGATAAATCGTCCCAAAATTTATTATGATTCTTTCCAGACCTTTGTTGGTTCAGTTTAAATCTCTCAATGGTTTATCCTGATTCTTTCCCATGGACATTTTCTCTGGTTTAGATAAATCGCTCCAAGATTTATTCTGATTCTTTCCAGTTAAAAAAAATTCAAGACCTCTACTGGTTGAGTTTAAATCTCTCAATGATTTACCATGATTCTTTCCGGTAGACATTTTCTCTAGTTCAGATAAATCGCTCCAAGATTTATTTTGATTCTTTCCAGACCTCTACTGGTTTAGTTTAAATCTCTCAATGGTTTATCTTGATTTTTTCCCGTAGACATTTTCTCTGGTTCAGATAAATTGCCCCAAGATTTGTTCTGATTCTTTCCAGACCTCTGCTAGTTCAGTTTAAATCTATCAACAGTTTATCCTGATTCTTTTCGGTAGACATTTTCTCTTGTTCAGATAAATCGCCCCAAGATTTGTTCTGATTCTTTCCAAACCTCTACTGGTTCAGCTTAAATCTCTCAATGGTTTATTCTGATTCTTTCTGGTAGACATTTTCTTTGGTTCAGATAAATCGCCCCAAGATTTGTTCTAATTCTTTCTAGACCTCTGCTGGTTCAGTTTAAATCTCTCAATGGTTTATCCTGATTCTTTCCGGTAGACATTTTCTCTGGTTCAGATAAATCGCTCCAAGATTTATTCTGATTCTTTCCAGACCTCTGCTGGTTCAGTTTAAATCTCTCAACGGTTTATCCTGATTATTTCCCGTAGACATTTTATCTGATTCAGATAAATCACTCCAAGATTTATTCTGATTCTTTCCAGATCTCTGTTGGTTCAGTTTAAATCTCTCAACAGTTTATCATGATTCTTTCTGGTAGACTTTTTCTCTGGTTCAGATAAATTATCCCAAGATTTATTCTAATTCTTTTCAGACCTCTGCTGGTTCAGTTTAAATCTCTCAACGGTTTATCCTGATTTTTTCTGGTAGACTTTTTCTCTGGTTTAGATAAATCGTCCCAAGATTTATTCTGATTCTTTCCAATTAAAAAAATTCAAGACCTCTACTGGTTTAGTTTAAATCTCTCAATGATTTATCCTGATTATTTCCGGTAGACTTTTTCTCTGGTTCAGATAAATTGTCCCAAGATTTGTTCTGATTCTTTCTAGACCTCAGCTGGTTCAGTTTAAATCTCTCAACGGTTTATCCTGATTCTTTCCGATAGACTTTTTCTCTGGTTCAGATAAATTGTCCCAAGATTTATTCTGATTCTTTCCAGACCTCTGATGGTTCAGTTTAAATCTCCCAATGGTTTATCCTGATTCTTTCTGGTAGACATTTTCTCTAGTTTAGATAAATCGCCCCAAGATTTGTTATGATTCTTTCTAGACCTTTGTTGGTTCAGTTTAAATCTCTTAATGGCTTATCCTGATTTTTTCCGATAGACATTTTCTCTGGTTCAGATAAATCGCCCCAAGATTTATTCTGATTCTTTTCCAGTTGAAGTCAAGATTAGATTTAGTCTAATTTCTGTCAACAATCACCTTTGGATGGCATCTATAAGCCCATCACTGACAACTCTCTATCATCTTGCCAAATGGCCTCTTTAAGCCCATTCCCTACATAATCAACCACCACATCATCAAGTGCAGATTTCTGGGCACTCTAGTGTTCAGTCATCTTCCACCTTCAAGTCACGAATGACAGATTTGCCAATCTAACTCTTCAGGTTTAAGAAGATTGAACAGGGGAAGCTGTTGTACCCCAAAATTTTCCCTCTCATTTTCTCAAGATTTCTCTCGCATGTATGATTACAAAAATATGTTTAAAGAAATAAAGAAAATGTAAAATTTTGAAGATGTTAATGTGCCTTTCGATTAGGTAAAAAAAGAAACAAGTTGGCTTCGATTTAACAAGTTTAAAACTGGCCATATGTTTTCCTTCGAAGTAACCCCCTTCGATCCACAAGTTGGGAAGCCTCCTTCGATTTACAAGCTGGGCAACCTCTTTTGATTTACAAGTTGGGCAACTTCCTTTGATTTACAAGTTGGGCAGTCTCCTTCGACTCACAAGCTGGGCAACCTCCTTCGATTCACAAGTTGGGAAATTAAACCCTTCGAAGCAATGTACTTATATCACACCTATAAAACTCTTCAACACCATGGATCATAGTTGGTGGATTCGAATGACCTATAATGGGTCCATTCGAAGAGCACACATTGTTGGAAACGAACGTTGTTGTATGATGATGAGTCTGGTCAAAGTGATCAAAACGAAATGGTGGAGTATTTAAGGTGTTTGTTGACCAAAGTCCTATATACTGCCAAAGCCAAGTCAATCATGCTGCTATGCAACAATCCTACACCAACCTGCCACAACACTCAAAATACTGCTGAGCCTGCATTATCTCAGTCCCATACTTACACAAAAAGGGTACATAAGAGCTGCATCGAAGAAAACAGGGGGACAGTATACCCAAACAGTTCAAATGTTATTTGATTTCCCCCCAAAACCACATCAAAGTTCCACTATAAATAAACCTTTCTTCACAACATCAAGAGGGATGGAGACGCTGTGAGGAGAGATAAGGGAACTGGGAAACAAAATAAAAACCTTTGTAATGTTTGCTCACTCAAAAATCAACTCTACTTTCACCTACAAACACAATATCAAAATACATTATCCCATTTTTCCAACTCTCATAAATCAACTATCCAGAACACCCCACACATAGA